TAGTAAATTATCATGGTTTCTACTATAATATATTGTAAAAAAACCATTACAAAACTTACTTGCTATTTCAATAAATACAGTATATGACTTAGTTGGTATTAGAAACATCTTGGTTCCTACTATGAATTCTATGCATAAACTTAATTGTTATTCCAGTAACAATAGTATGTTGTTAAGACTAAGTTTGCATTAAAATATTATCATTAAATACTGTAGAACGTTCTATTACAGTAATGGACTTACTACTTTAGTGATCATAAGATCAAGTTAGCTTGTATTTGAAATATCTTGTCCATGAGTTACCATAAAACTTCTGTTACAAAACTTGCTATTCCAGTAATTATATTATGTGGTAAGTATTAGAATTATTGTAATTTATATCATGAGTTACTGTACAGAACTTACCTTCTATTCTGGTGGTCACGATATGTAATCATGGTGAGTTGGCTCGCGTTAGTTTGCTCGTAACCTTTATTGCAAATTGTTGCTAAATATTCTGATATAAAACTTACTCGTTATCCCAATGATATCAATATGTAGGCTGTATTAGTGAAATGATTATGATTTCAGCTATTGTAGCAAAATCTGTTATTTTATGATACTTAGTGTATAGTTAAGGTTGTGATAGTTTGTAATTTCTATTGTGAGTTACTGTAAAAAATTCTGCTACAATCTTAGTTTAGTTTATATTAGATTTCTATTATGAGCTACAGAATTTACTTACTATTTTGATGATAGTTATATACATTTGAAATTAATGTGTTTTCTACCATAAGTTATTGAAAAAAATCTTGTCATGGAACCTATTCACTGCCCTTGAGTTCATAGTACGTCGTTAAGTTTGAGTTAGCTTGCATTGGTATTATTGTAAAAAATTCTGCTACAAAACCTACATTGGTTTGCATTAGAATTATCATGAATTATTATAAATTACTCTATTACAAAACAAACTCGCTATTCCAGTGAGACAACGATAAGTCTATTGCGAGTTACTGTTAAAAATTCTGTTACAGAACTTGCTTGCTAATGCAATGCACAGTGGTTAAAGTTGAGTTGGTTTGCATTGGAATTATCGTGATTTCTATTGTAAATTACTGTTGCAAAACTTGTTATTAAAAGTAACACAGTATAGTAAGGCCGAATTTGTTTGTATTGCAATTTTGTGATTTCTAAGTTACTGTAAAGATATTGTTACATATTTACAAAACTTATTCTTCCAGTGATATACAGGATGCGGTTTACTAATGTATGTTATTAATGTTATTCTATCCTAACTATTCTAATATTAAAGGCACATAGCACATATAACACGTAAAGTTGATAATCGAAACTGGGAATGTCTTATTTAAAACATAACTCTGGTTATTTCTGACATATTGATGATCATTTCTATGTAAATTTTTCCACACTCAGGTCATATTTTTCAGATATGACCAATCAAAAACGTTAAAACCCACAGATTCAGAATTGAGATATAAAGATTAGATAAATAGTTCTGGCCCATATCTGGAAAATTTGAATGCACCCTGTTGATGTTAGTTGACTATATAAATAGTCCTATATTAATATCAAATTGTAAAGATTGTCTATTTGACAATTATATACATATTATGTCAAATACTATATCTCCAAAAAAAAATAATAATACAGTCAGGGATTTTGCTAAATTAGGAAATCACATTCTAGAATGATCTCTGTGTCATTCTGTGGATTTGATTGGCTGTGTAACATTTTTTATCATCAAGAGATCATTTGATATTTTATTTATTTATTTGATATTAAATAATATACTATTAGATATCTACTTTAAATGATCCCACTTGAGCCCTCAAAATTCTATTATAAAAAAAGTAAATGGAAGCTAACTTCTTTTAATTAATAAGTAAATATTGTTGTAGTTAAATTTGATTGGTCAATCACACGTGATTTTCGTGCAACCAAATGATCTAGAATCATGTGATCGACATTTCTATACCATACATGATGTGATCTACACTGTCCATTTTAAGCAAAATCCCTGACTGTAATATGTGAAAGACTTAGATTCTTAAAAATATGCAGTTTTTTTATCAAGACTTATATGTCAAACTCTTACTACAGTGCGATAATCTAGTCCTACAAATAAAATTGATGAAATTCAAATTGCTAATCCTTTTTTTAAACAATCAATTTAAATTTTATATATATTAAAGATTTGAAATTTGGTAACTTTATAAATAAAAATTAGTAGCTAAATTTTAAATTGGCCTTTTTATATATATAAAAAATAAAATCTAAATTTGGCCTCTAAAATTTTTATTTACTGTAACTAGGTTGTTGGACTATAAAAAAATAATTTATTTACACAATACACTTTATTAAATCATATTATCAATTATAGATTTTACTAAAACACATCTATGGTGTTTTTATATCATAGGTTCAATTTCTCAAAAATGTACTAAGTAAACAGAATCAGATTTTCTAAGTAAAAATGTTCAGGACCCAAAAACCTTATAAGAACTAAGATTGGGCCCTATCAGGCCCTTATAGTAGCTCTATAATATATTATATGAAAAAATTAATTCTTAATTTCCTAACCCTAACTCTAAATTTATTAAAAGAAATTATACATAGGTGCTAAAACACCATAGGTCCGTTTTATAATAATTTATTAATTTTTTTTTAACAGTTTGGCAGTTTTGCCTCTATTTTATTAGGATTTATAATATTATACTATGAAATATTAAAATTTTTGAAGAGTATAAACCCTAACGCCACCTTCAGTTCTTTGTAACCAGAGTTCAAATTACCCATGTGTGACCTGCTATAGGCAGGATTTTTCTCCAAAATATTTCTTTCTGCATTTGAAAAGAATAAATCTTCACCAAAAGGTTCCTACTAGCTTGGCAATACTACTTATCATTTCTTCTAAACTTTTTCCACCTAGATCTGAGCAGAATAGTTTATCTCTTACTTTTCCATAAGGGAAGAAAAATATGCCACATCTATAAAAGAAAACAAAACTATCTAGAAAAAGAAAGAGAGAAACAAAAAAAAGAAAAAAAAACATTTAATAGAAAAAAAAAGAGTCCTAAATATAGTTTTATTATAATAGGATGAAGATGAAAAGAGCAGAAAAAAAGACAAAGAAGTTCTGATAAACCACCTTAAAAAAAACAAACAAAAGAAACAAAAAGAAGAAAAATACACTATTATAATCTGTGCCAGGTATAAAGATAAAATTATATACTAATTGCAACTAATTAATATATTTCAGCTGTAAAGCTTCGCTTTAATATTAAGACTCATTTTGAACATGTCACCAGATTCAGGTATCTTCTAAACAGGGGTTATCGATCTCATCCCCATACTATAGCACTGTAATAATAAACAAAACAAACATGTAGTAGCATTTTACTGAGTTTGTCTGAATTAGGTAAGTATAAAACAATGCCAATTTTTTGGAAGGGGTAAGTTGAAATGCTCACTTTTTGTCAAAAATTTTGATAAGGTTGGCAAAATATGAGAGAGAAAAAAAACACTTGAAACCACCAAAAGAGTGTAGGTTTTCTTTTACTAGAATTAACTATCTACCAGAGCCTGCATAGTACTAAGTCTTTTTGGTAAGTGATAAACTCTAAACTTGTTGGCAAGTAGCATATAAGAACTACTTCTAAACAACAAGTGCTATGCCTGCAGTCAGTGAGTGATAAACTCTGAGGCTGTTAGCAGGTAGCGTATAAGTACCATCTCTAAATAACAGCTAACTTATAGTCTCTTTCCCTATATCTTACACAAGAGTCATCAACTTTACTCTAGTATACTGTATTTTTTTCTAATAAAATGTTTTTTGGAAATTGTGGTTCAAATAATCATCAGAAAGAGTTGTGAAGTAGTAATAATTTATTAATTATATATTAATAGTAATAATAAACATACTTAATTATTTAAAATATTAACAGAAAAATTACTATAAATTTAATTCTGTAAAAATCTGTAAAATACAAATTTTTATACAAAAAACTAAAAATTTTTTATAATTTGAATTTTGAACAGAATTATATTTAATTTCTGTAACTATAGCTGCTAAGTTTGATGTTTGTATAGATTTAATTTAATTTTTAGCTTAATAAAATTTATATTTTGATATTTTTGACTATTGATATAGGTGTTTGAAAATGGCTTAATCTACCAAGTTTGTTTTTACTATATAAATCTATAATTTTAGTTTTCAAATCTGATAAACTTTTACTGACTGTATAACATTTTTAGAAGTTTAACTGTATGATTGTTTTAAAAAAATAAATGGATGTTCTATAGAATAGGTGGGCAAACTCCGCAAACTCTGCAACTCTGTTAAATATTTATTAATGATTACTAATTCTTGGCAGAGTTTATTCTTTATATTGCTCACCTATTCTATAGAACATCCTTTTAAATATTGTATTATACAAAATAAATTAGTATAATATAAGAAAAAAAGAGTAAGAAATTTGGGTATATATTATAATATATTTGGTAACTTTTGACCAGAATTATTATTCCAAATAACTTTGGCTAAATTTATAGCCAAATTTAAATTTATTAATAAAATTTGTAACTTTAAAAGGATATAACTTTTAAACATTAATAAACTAAAAAACAAAATCTGTAACTTTGTTCTTTAGGCAATGAAACTACCTTTTGAGCTCTAACAAAAAAAATTTTTCGCAAAATTTTGGTATATAATACACTCTACCCTAACCGCTAACCCTAACCCTAATCTAACCTAGTATTAATTTTTTTACGTATATAAAATTGCTGTAACACGGATCTACAAATTATAATTTAAATACACATGCGATGAATTAGCATATCGCAGAGTGCGATGTGTATATTTTTTCTTTTATTATTTTACAAAGAAATTTAATTTATAACTATTTTAGTTTTTATTTATAAACTTTTAAGATTATGTATTTTATATATTGATTTACGAACTGTATATCCTATTTGTATTGTGTGCTAAAAATAAACAATTTTTAAGATAATCGACTATCAACTACATGCAATTTTGACTTGATCCATTTAATAAACGATTCAAACTTAATTCCGTTACCTATAAAACCAACCAATAGTAATAAATTATTATATGTATGCATATAAAGAACTATGAAAATAATAAAATACTCACTATGTTTAGTGAAGAAGGTGGTTGACATCGGAAGTTCAAGAATTTTATTTCCAATCAAATCATGGAGGGTTGCAAGCCTTTGATAATTTATTAGTCGATACTTAAGATGTCTCTTATTTTCAGTGTCATATTTAATAATGTAATCCCCTAACAGGAGATATTGGAACCGTTTAATTTTAATTTCATCTTTCGTGAAGTTTTTGTCCTTTTTAATGAGGGATTCTACTTTTTCCGAGAACCATTTCTTGTGAAAATCTTGAATATACTTATATTTATCGTTGCTTTTATTATATTCATTTTTAACGTCATCCCAAATTACTTTTCCAGGTTTCACGGAATTGATTTCATCTATTAATTTTACACAGGCACTTATTTCAGATTCTTCGTATCCTTTTTGCCACAGGTCAAGATCGATTTTTATTTGCATTAGAACTCTTCTAATGTGACCCACGATCTCCTAATTTAATTGAAAGTTTATTGAATAAACGTTATAAATGTAACAAATAAAGTATAATAATTGATACACAGCATACTTCCAGAAAATCCTTATATTCCTTGACAAACAGAAGATGAAGACTGATGCCACATATAAATACAGCAGATAAAATTTGATTATCTCGAGATAGAAGTTTAATCGGATATAATACTGCTTTATCTTTATCCTTTAAAAGGACCTTTAAAGGCTGATTTTCTTTTATTACGAAATGTATTGGCCAAGATTCGCATTTTAAAGACGAATCTTTGGTCATTTCTTCATAATTGTCGTATTTTTCATCAGTATATTCTACTTCAGATGGTTGGTAATACATATGCTCCTCCGGATCCCCATTTATATCGTATAGAATTTTGCAACGAGTTTTAGCAATTAGACAAGCAGCAGGCAGTTGAAGATTGGAACCTTCAATATTATTTTTAACAAGATAAATCATGGCAAAAGGAATATCTTTATTGTTTTTGAACAATTCATCAATTATTTGTTGGCAATCCTTTTCAACATCTTTAAAAAATTATAGAAAGCGTTAGTAATGTTTTATTAACAAGTGACGATTTACTAAAACATTTTATTTACCATTAATTTCATTAATTTGTTTCAAATCGGTAAGAGTTTTCATTCTTCGATCAAAAAAAACCCTATCAGATGTATCTTCACAGAAACCCATCATAGCACAAATTGTGCCATCCGTTTTGAAAATCGGATGCATCGAATAAGTGTAGTAGCGTTCTTCAAAAATACCGTTACCACATGGATCGTGATGATATTTATCATGTTCAATTACACTTTTTCCGGTTTTCACACTTAATTTACAAGTAAACTTTAATAATTATTATAATAAATAAATAAAAAAACATGTATATATTTAATATATAATTTTTGATATTTACATGGCATACTCTTTAGGCACGGTTTTGTTATAAGGTAAACATTCATTGAACGGTTTTCCAAAATCTATTTAAGATTAAAATATCGATTGAAATTTATCCTTTTTTCCGTTATTACAAAGTTATGTGACAATAACTAACCCAATAGTTTTAGATGTTTTATAACTGGTATCGTTTCTATACATTCTTAAATAAATATAACCAGATATTTAGAAATATACGCAGAAGCTAACAAGCAGATAAATATTAAATTATTTTGTACGTACTTTTATTGTATATAAAATTAAGGTCATCTCCGTGATAAACAGTGATAGAATTCGATGATTTAATGCAGTAATTCTGATAAATTAAGCAATATAAGACTAAGTTTCATGTCATAAATTAAAGAACTGATGACAAACTTACAAAAGCCGTTTTGAATGATGTATCCCAAGAATCTATAGGGCCAAGATTGAGATTTGCAAATAGCTGATCGTAGCTGCAGGGAAGGGCTTTCATGTTTAAAAGATTAAAAATAGAAATAGATGTTAATAATGTTTTATTAACAAATAATGCCGATTTACCAAATCAATTTACTAACCCTTAATTCGAGTCTTATAATCACAAATCATAGCATAAAATGTACTGTCTGTTTTGTAACGATCACGTCTAGATACTTTTTTCCCTTTTGCACTTAATTTTAATAAGTAATTATTATAATAATAAATAAAAAAAAAATTACTTAATATAGTTTTTGATATTTACCGTTCACACTCTGATTTTAACTTGGAATTTGTGTTTATTTCAATCTTTGCTTCATCGCTGTCAATTCCAAATGAATCAGGATGTTCAAGCATTATTAGAAATTTACATGCATAGAATTCATTTAAAAGATTTATTGCGGCTTTTTATACTGTTATATTGTTTGAAACGTTATTTATGCAAATTTTACTTGCCGTCAATAAAATCAGCAGATTGCATTTAAATCCGAACATATTGGCTGCCGCCAAGAACAAGCGGGCTGATCCCAAATATTAATTGATCAAAATTATGTAAGATGCATTACGTAATAATTTTTATGCATAACATTGTTCGACAAAATCGATTCATTTCTGACACAGAAATTAAATTTGTGTATTTATAGAACATATTTGTAAAAAAAATTTTACTAATTTTTGTTATAAAGTTGATCAATTTTTTTAGTATTTATAAGATCAATCAATCAAAATTAAGGATTTTTGTGAAGATTAAAGAACACTGAACCCAGTGATCATCACAGTATCACATGACAATCACTCGGCCTAGGTTAGGGTTAGTTTAGGGTTAGGGTAGGAGTTAGTTTTAGTTTAGGCCAGTTTGTTTAGTCTGGTAAACAAATGACGTCATGATATTTTATCATGTGATTGTCGATCACTGGGTTCAGTGATCTTTAAGTGTCCCGGATTTTTGTACTACACATTACGGGTGTAACTATTTAAAAAAACATGTGCAAATTTTTAAATAAAGGCCATGAAGCTGTATTAATTAAATTAAAATATTAAATATACAATTTTAATATATTATATTAATATATAGTGTATCAGAATTGATTATATTATCTATACTAGTAAATTACTATCAAAAAATTGATTTAACGAACGAACTATCAATTTTTTTCTGGCCGTAGTGTAACAAAAAGAAGTTGCAGCTTAAAAATTTTAATTAATTAAACATTTTAACTATTACATTAGTAGGAGGTTTCTCTTTTTGGTTTGAGATATACACACTAATTAAAAGATGTGCATGCGTTATGGATTGGCCTTAATAACTAAAAATTCGAAACCGTAAATGTGCAAAAAAGGCCTTCTTTATATTATATATATAATTTTATTATAAGTCTTTGCGATGGTTTTAATTCTGAATATTTTAAGAGTTGGCATTTGTTATCGTTAGACGTTTTAATCAAAATGTTATGTGTTTGTTATAAATTGGTTTGATAACCGAAAATTTAAATCGCAATTGTGTAAAAAAGCTTTATATCATATATTATATGTAAAGTTTTATTGTGATAGTTTGAATGCTGAATCTTTACAAAATTTGGGTAAAGAATATTGCCGGGTATATCAGGATCTTCATGGGTGCAAATAATATATAAAAAAATCTGTACTAGTGATTTTTATTATAATACTTTATATTGCTTGATTATTTAGTATATGAAATACCCAGTGCGGATGTAGAATACCACACTTGTGTAATAGTGGAATTGCTAAAATTGTTGACGATCAACTTCACATGGTTGCGGAATTATTTCATAATTAGAGAATCATTTCCACAATTGTGGAATAATTTCTCTGTGTCACTAGGATGTAGTGTTTCAACCTGTGAAATCCGGATCACCTGTCGGGTTGCAAAGGCGGATGTAACGGAATATCAATAATGAGTTAGAAAACTATTCGTTTTCTATAATTAGGGTTATGGTTGGTCTGGTTAAAAATATAGAAATGGTAAGAATTATAGATAAAATTACCCTTCTGACATTTTTTATTGTGCTTTGAGCCCTACTTTGGTTAGTGCAATATATAGATGTAGTCCGTTCGAATGATATTCGGAATGCATGATACCTGCAGCTTTGAAATTACTGATACCGATAGTATAAATTGGCAAGTTATAGAAAGTTGTCATAAACAATTAGTAAAAAAAAAAAAAAAAAAAAGGACCATAAAGGCTTGAATTGTGATAAAAATCGAAAAATGATATTAGAAGACTTCGTTAAATGTTGCGATTATAATGAATTCACAGATATGGAGAAAATTGGCGAAGGAAGGGTAGGAAACGTTTACAAAGCTAAGTGGAATCGTAGAATCTTTGTAGCCCTCAAAGTCCCGAAAGATGTTAAAAATCTTGAAATTATTCAAGAAGTATTATTAAAGTTTCTTTTGTGTGTAATTAATTTATTTTAAATTGCACTTATAATTTTTATTACTTTTATAACTATGTAGGTTAAAGGTTTGAAAAAAGCTAGCATTCATCCACATATTATTAAATTTTATGCCATAACAAAAAGTGAGTGGTTTGGAATTATTTTTATATAATCGATTATATAAATAATGTTTTATATGTTAACTGATAAGTAATTTAATCAGATCCATCTAATGATGACTGCATTATAGTCATGCAATTTGCTAATGACGGAAATTTACGCAATTACTTAAAAAAAAAATTTTTTAAGCCTACAACGAATCGATAAGTTACGTATTGCTAAGGAAATAGTATTGGGCCTTGTGTCCTTACATAATAACAATATTATTCATAGTGATCTTGTAAGTTTAACGATATATTATTAGTATAGAATGAAAATTTTTAATATACTTATCAAATAACTTTTAAATTTACAGCACACAGAAAACATTTTAGTTCACAACGGTAAAATGATGATTGCTGATTTTGATCTCTCTATATCTAGAAATTCGGACTTAATTAAGCGTAATGTTTATGGTAATCCAGCGTTTATCGATCCAGCAGCTCTACGTTTTCCATGTGAATTTATACCCACCAAAGAATCAGACATATACAGTCTAAGTGTCATACTCTGGGAGATTTCTAGTGGTTGTGTGCCATTTGAAAACATGCCAAAAGAGGAGGTAATTCTTCACGTGCTAAAAGGTGGGAGAGAAATGCCTTTAGAAAACATGCCATGTGAATATATAAAGCTTTATATGAGTGGCTGGAATGGGAATCCAACGGATCGACCAGGTGCAGAAGACATTCTTAAAGTTTTAAAAAGATGCAGTTCAAGTTCATTTAAAGAAGTCATACAAAGTAGTTCCCTGGCGCTGTTCAGAAGTTTATCTGATCGACTTGCAGAGCTACATATTTTTTATATCCATTTTTTAAACTTTTTAAACTTCGAATAATGGCAAAATAATTAATGACAAAGTTGTCATGGTCAAGATCAGTTATACGGTAAAAATAGGAATTCAAGATATGTTGTGCGGGAATAACCAGTGTTTAAAATTACCTAGTACAAGATGCACATGCACAAGTAGTTTTTTTTGTGCAAGAGAAGTTCCAAATGTATACACAAGTGTGTATTTAAATAAGGAGCTTGCGCAAAAAATGACGTGCAAGAGAAATTATAAAATTTTATTGCATAAAAATTTAGTCTAATTATAAAATATGAGATAGGATAAAGATACGTAGTCCGAAGAGTTTCGAAAGGAAAATGAATGACATAAAATACGAGCAAGGTTGGGCTTAAATTGAGAAAATGTCCGAAATATTCCGAAAATTAAAAGATATATTTGGTATAGTAATTTTATAACGTTCGTATCATTCGGAGATAATAAATATGTGCATATAAATATAACAGGAGAAACCGTCTAAATATGGATATGATTTTCATTCTCCGTTACACAGATCACTCATTGTATCGACCAGTCAAAATATCACTACAGGATTAGTCAACCAATCAAATTGCGAAATTTACAAAAAGATGAAACCATGGGATTCAAAGGGATTCAAAAAATATGTTGTAAAGCAAAGTGAGAGCTTCATGTTTGTTTAACAATTTTCAATATTCATAGAAAAGATAAGTCAAGCGAGCCTTCTAAAAAAGTATTGTAAAATAATATAAAAAAAAATTTCATCAATTGTGTAACGATTTTGTGACGTATCAACGGTTCCCCTGTTTATAAATATAAAATTTATATGCACATGTGTGCAACTAGTAATTGGTTTGTGTAATCAAACTTATGACACAGCTGCATTTGTGCATGGTTCTGATCTGAGTTTTAAACACTGGGCATAACATTGGAACAGAACTTTGATTGAGAAGAAAGGATTAAAAATCAATGACGTAAAAAAATAATTTAATACTTAGGCCGTTTGAAGTTGATTCTTCGGTTAACATCCCCCTCCGCTGAAGTCTCCCTGAAAAATGAACAACCAATCAAAACGCTGGATAACTCGCGTCGACCAATGAAATTGGCCCATTTTTATATGTTCGTTTCATTTACTCCCACCCTCCCCTTTCCCAAGAGTCCTAAAGGTGATGTTAACCGAAGAATTAACTTCGAACGGCCTTATTGCGTTTTCACGTAAGGAATTGTGGTCTCGTAATCACGTGCTCCATCGATTGAATCACGGTTAATAATAAATTGCTCATAATTATTATTATTATTTATATTAAATTTTAGCATCAGTTACGATTTTGACCGACTAACATTAATTACGGCTATAGCTCCGGCTAAACGATTATAGCCGTAACCGAACCTATCTCTAGACTAGAAACATTCAAGATTAAGTTCTCGTTCGTATTTTCGTATTTTTCGAAAAAACGATACTAAGGCAAATGTTTCCTATGCTCTTCAATCTTCCAAATCTAAGGATCTCATATTCATTCATTACTAAAAACTCTAAATTCATGAGATTTCAACAGAATTTCAATTATTATCCGCAAAAGCGTAATTTTCAATTCAAAATGTTTGAATTTTTTTAATTTAATATTTCACCAGTAATTGATTTACAATGATAACGAATAAGTAATAAATATTTTGTAATTAAAAAAATCTTGATGATACAAATGATTTTATTTTATTCATCTACATCACGATCTATAATTGTATCAGGAAATTCTACATCATGATCTTTAATTACAGGAGGAGAATGCATTTTAAACGAGGCATCTAATTTAAAAAAATCTCTTGAAATAATTTCCACCTCTTCATTTGTTCTATCATTTCTTAATGAATCTTCTAGTATTCCATTTAGGAGAAACTCGATCTTGTTAAATAAACGTTCCTCATCACTTGCTGAGAAATGTGTAAAAGCTAATTTAATCATCAGTGATCTATCTTCATACCAACTTTTTCTAAAATCGGTCCCAACGAATTTACGTCATTTTCATCATGTTCATTCCAGAAGATTACATCTTTTAATATCGAAGAACTACTACATTTATTTTTAAAAAACACTACCATTCTTCCTTCCAAAAAATATATAATGAAAAACATCGAGCAAAATATGAATGGGATAAAAACTACAGGCTTGATCAATAATTGTTTGAGAATAATATCATTAGAACGCCAGATCAAAAAGACGTTTAACAGAGTTTCAAAAGACCTAAGAAACGACCTATCAATGAGTTTATAAACCAATATAATCCAAAAACTATGATGACAAGCGCCAGAATTCTATCAATTTGCGTATCAATGTCGGTATTTAAATTAATCAAAACTGAAGCTATGGCAAAGAGAACGATGTGAGCAGAAGCGACATTGAAAAGCAGCAAACCGATGCTTCTTTCACGATAAATTATTATATTTTGACAGGTCAATAATTTTACATATTGATTTATAGGAAACTCATTCATGAGTATCAAAATTTGGTCTTCTATCACCAATTTCATCGGGGTAAACGAGTAAGTATAATCGACATTCTCTTTTTTGCTTTCATCTTTCTTGCTCAATAAATCTTTACCCGAGGTTATGATAATGGATAGGATTCCGCTAAAGGCGGTCAATATCGAAGTAGATATTGTCCCTATCTTCCCAAACAACTTATTTTCGTCAGCCCATAGCAGTGAAACACCGATTAAGATCGTGAAATAGGTTCATGACAAGCAATTTATCGTTATCTTTGTAATTAGCTTGCAGTTTCGTATATTCATCCTTTAATCTCAACAATAAATATTTCTTCCTACGAATCTCATTAGAAATTTTCGATTCATCAAGAGGGGTAATAGAATTATCATCAGTCTCCATTAACGTAAAAGATAAAAATTTTTTTCAAAAAAAATCGATAAAATCATTGATTTATTTATTATTTCAAAAATCAACAAACATGCGTAACGTAGGATTTACAGAACTATGCTTTTAATGATGCTAAATTGTGCATTAAATTATGCTTTTTATGCTAATGACTTGTTTTAACGCTCTAATTTTTTTCATCTGCCTCTGATTATTGCCTTTAAAATTATTGTTTGGGCACGTGCCAACTAACTCTTTGGTTTCGGGTCATGCTCGTGACCAACCGCATTTCCTTTTTGATTTCAACGGAAAGATTTTTGTGTATACCCCAAAAAATTTTATCAATCTCGAGTTACATTTATAAGTTTGACAACTTTTGATTCCATAGTTGAATGTATACATTGCTATATAAACTTTTATGTACAGTGCAAGAAATCTAAAACCACAATTAATACTTATAGAGACAAAATATAAGCTTCGAATTAAGCACTTAATTTATTGAAATTGATAGATTATGAGTTAAAATTACGCCAAGCAGATAATCAAGTACGTACGTAGCACATTAAAATTCATATTTCTTAAATTCACATACATACTTTATTATGTTAATAATTAAGTGTTTCAATGTTTTATTTTGTCTTTATAAGGTATAATTGTGGTTTTAGGTTTCTTGCACCGTACGTGTGTACGAATGTACTAAAAAACATATGATTAACTTTAATTAATCCTTGCTGGTGTGAAACCGGAGACGTGACCTGAAGCAGGCACGTGCCCCGTGACCTCGATTATTTCCAACTCCGGATTTAATCGCAGAAAGGCCATTTCTGGGAGAAATGGCAGAAATCCCAGAAACGGTGATTCTGAATAACGGGAAATTATGGCAATTTAGGTCTTTTCGAGGATTCTAGCAGTAAGAGCAATTTAGGGATTATAGAAAATAATGGTAATACAGGCGATTTCTGTAGTGAATATAATTATTGTGGCCACTTATGCTGAAATTTGGGGTCTTTATTTAAATCTATAATACCTACGAAAATACCCCGATCATTATTTCGAGATCACGAGTGTTTATTACAAATCCACATTATAGTTGTTAGACGAAACCTTGAGGTTTCGCGCTGACGAAATGCGAAACCTAGTTTCGTCTTTCGTCAACTAAA